AAAATATAATTAGTGAAAAAGTTAATTATTCAACCAAGAACAAAAGGTTGAGTGTTATATTAAATTTTTTAGATGCTCATATTTGATCTTATTTTTATATCCAGGAGATAGGGTATAAATATAGTAAGATGAATGACACAGAAGATTTAGATGAATATAGAAAACAGAATTATGAGGAAGATTTTGAGGTGTGGTTTCAAGAAGTAAACGAAATTTGTGAGGAGTATGACACAAAATATATTTGGACATTTACAGATTTGGAACAATACGCCAAAGAATATTTACTATTATTAATTTAAATATTTATATTGTTATTTTATATTGTATTATATTTTGATTTTCATATGATAATTATTAAATAAAATTTTGCTTAAATTAATTTATCCAAAATTGATAAAGGTACATGATTGTTATTTTTGTTAAATACTTCGAATAATATCGATGATTATTCTATTAAATTTAAATTATTGTTATGTTAAGCTTATTTTAATGCTAAACAACCAAATGACTCGTGATTAAAGTTTGTTCTATTTTGGCTTAAAATATTTTTCAATGAAAATTATTCGCAAATTACTTCTTGTATTTTGTTAATTCTGTCATTTTCTTGTGCTTCTATGATTTCTTTAACAAATGTTCATATTTTTGATCATCTGTTTTAATAGTTATAAACTTAAATTCTTTACCAAATTTCGGTAAAGAATTTCACGTTTCACCAAATTGATGGATGTACCAATAGTGACCAATTGGATCTATCAACATGTCATATTTTATATTCTTTCAAGTTCGAATACTAGAAATTTACTTGGAAATCTAAATTATTCGATATTCGATTGTATATAAAGTTTTTGGGTGGAAAAGAATAAATTAATTCTAATACTAGAAGTGTATGTTTTATGGATAGTTATTTTGATAAAGTTTTTACTTTTAAAGTTATGGTTGTAGATGTTGTTTGAACCAGAAATTTGGATAATGGTATTGTTTAATTTTAAGAAAATTTAAGAGTGAGGCTAGAGGGAGGCGTTCGTTTGAAAAAGCGTCATTATTTCGTATTTTTTTTGATTTGTCTAGTAAGATTTGTAAAGAAAGATGTTTATATAAATTTGAAAATAAGCTATTGTTTATTATGTAATAAAAAATGTTTTTGCAAAAATTTGTTAAAAAAATTTTTAAAAAAAATAATAAAATTTATAACGAAAATGAAACAAGAGAGGATTGGCTGTCCTGGTCAATCTCCACAATAAATGAAAAAATTTACATTAATCCATTATATGTGGAAATTGAACAAGAAAGTCAATCATCGTCATCATTGTTGATTGATAAATTTAAAAGTAAAAATATGATATTTTTTATCAAATATGAATCGTTTAAGGAATATTTAATTAAAAACCGTATTATTGAAGCGAGTTTTAGGATTAATGAAAATACAAAAAATAAGAGATTAATAACAATATTAAAATTTGTAGAGGCACACACAAGATCGTATTTTTATATAGTAAATAAAGGATATGAATATAGTATTAAAAACCACACACACGATTTAGATGAATGGTGCTTGGTAAGATATGCAGAAGATTTAGAAGTTTGGATTGAAAAGGTTAATGAGATTTGTAAAGAATATTTTATTAAATATATTTGGACTTATTCAGATTTAGGAGAGTATGCAAAAGAATATTTGTTGTATGATTGCGATTAATTTATTATTTATTTACTGTTTTATTTATTTTTTTATTTGTTTTTTATTAATAATATATATCAATCAAAATACATGTGAATAAATTTTAAAACAATATTGTATACTTTACGAATAACAAATAATTAAAAAAATTAAAATTTTGCTTTTTCTGATTGTTTTAACGCAATCACAATATATTTAACATGTTGACTTTGAGCTATTAGTTTTCTGGTATATTTGTTGTATATTTTTATATCAGCATATCCCATAGCTTTGCCAAATTTTATACATTCTGCTCCTACGAATAAAACATCATCTTCTTTTGCAGGATTTGTAAACGAAATATTGATATTTGTACTAACACCAGAGGAATGATTTAATCCTTTCAAAGCTATCACGAGAGATCCACACACATCAACCAATATCATGAGTATTCCACCATGTGCTGTTTTTATATGATTCAAATGATTTGATTGGATAGTTATTTCGCTCTTCACCACACCGTTAGATGCATTTATTATTTTCATTTGTGTAAAATTAATTAATAATTATTTTGATAATAAAATATAATATTATTCGAAGAAATACAAACATTTTTTAATAAAGGACCATCAAATTCATCAAGCATTTGATGAAAATAATTTTCAATCCACTGGGTCATATCTGTCGCTATCATGATTTATTAATTTGTTTTTATTATAAAAGCAACAAGATTTTGGATTCAAAATAATAAAGAAATGGCTGGATTAATAAGCTTTAAAGATGTTTTTAAAATTGATAAAGAAAAATTATCTTTTATCACTGAGGATGATATGAGATTTGCTTGGCATTATATAACTTTATTTTATAATAACGAACCTTGTTCTTTGGATGGTTTTAAATTATACGATGACGACAATAATTATGAATATCCCAAAATTAAAAACAATAATGAAACAGAATCTTTTTTATTTAAAACAAAGTCGAATCTTTATTTTAAAGATGATTTAATATGCCAACTTTGTTACAATGAATACAAATTAACTGATTTTTATAAAAATGGAAAAATATGTATTTATTTAACTTTAAATGATCATATTCTAAATTTAAGTGATTTCAAATGTAAATTTATTAAAGAAGAAGCTTATACGATTAATATTGATAAAAATGTGTTGTTTAATGATAACAGGATTGAAGAAATCGAAGTAGAAAATGATGGTATTAGAGATTATTACAAGTTAAAAGATGATGTTGGTCACTATTTTATTTTATATAATAATAGTGTAATTAAACATATCGGCACATATAATTATTTTGATTATTATGATATAGAAGATAACATTTCTGAAAAAATTTTTATTAAAAATGTATAATAATCGTTCGTTTTGACCATGTATTAAATTAGTTATTTATTACTAATCACCGCATGAATAAATATTAAGCGATATTTTAAGAAAAATAAACAATGTCGAAATTTCCAAAATACAAATCACTAAAAGATATTTTTTTAAACGAGAGTAAATCTATTAAGTTTTTATTTAAAGAAAATATCTTAGAAAAACCAACAATTTGTTCAAAATGTAATAAACCAAATTTTTCTTGTGAAGATAAAAGATTTCGATGTAAAAACAGATGGTGTCGAAAATCTGTTTCGATATTCAGAAATTCATTTTTTTCTAATAATCATTTAAAATATGACGATACTTTGTACATCGCATATCTCTGGTTAGCAAAAGTTTCTACTAGTTCAATATTGATGATGACAGGTCATTCACCTAATACGATAACTGATTATTTGGATTTTTTTCGAGAGTTGGTAATCGATACGTTAAAAGATGAACCGAATAAAATAGGTGATAGTGCAAGTTGATGAATCTAAATTCAGTAGACATAAATATAATCGTGGACGAAGAATGAATGGTGTTTGGGTTATCGGAGGGGTTGAAATTACTGATGAGAAGCAATGTTTTTTGATAACAATCGAAAAAAGAGATAGTGAAACTATTTAAAAAATTTTAAACGAATACATTGAGCTGGAATCGATACTTTACACTAATTGTTGGAGAGGGTATAATGGTATCGAGGATGAGTTAAATATGCAGCATAAAACGGTAAATCATTCAAAGTATTTTACAGATCCGGCTACAGGTGTGAATACAAACACTATCGAAGGTATTTGGAATAGTGTGAAATTACAAATCGCATCACGTCATAGATGTAAGGATTTAATAGAAAAACATCTATTTGAATATATTTGGCATAGAAAAAACAAAAATAATTTATGGGAAGCATTTTTGGATGCGTTACGTACAACTGCATATCCATCTAATTAATTTATTCTAGAATTTTTTTGTACGATGTAATTATTTTTATGTGATATTTATTAAATATGTACCTGATTTTCCTATTATTTTATATATCATCCAAATATTTTATTTAAAGTATAACTAATTGTATATTTATTTAATTGCTAAATCACTATATATAGAGAGAGTTAATAGAAAAAAGACAAATTTTTTCTAAGTAAAAGTTTTCTTGACTTTGAGCTTAAATATCTTGACAATAATTTTATCAAATTTAATAAAATTTTTTATTTTATTCTATATAATTTCAAGATTAAAATAAAAAATTTTTTAGTAAATTTGATTAAATAGTTGTTAAAATATTTTAATTTAAAAATTAAAAAAAAATTCACTAAAAACAATTTGTCACTTTTCTATTGACTCACTCTATATATTGCTAAATATTTTATTACTTTGCTAAATATTTTATTGCTTTGTTAAATGTTTAATTACTTCGCTAAATATTTAATCATTTTACTAAATATTTAATTACTTCGTTAAACTTTTAATTGTTGTATTTGCTCACATAAAACAAAAAAAAAGTATATTCTGAACTTTTCAAATTAAAATGCCATTAGAATCTAAATGCAGTAGAAAACCAAATTCTATTTAGGATCTTTTTGAATGAGGAAATTTAATTAATTTGAAGCATTTTTAGGCAATATGAGTTATTGCTATAATCCAATATTGGAAGTTCCTGAAAGAATGCTTAATTATTTAAAAAATACTTGCAAAAAAGTTAGAAAAGAAGTACTAAACACTTTAGACAATATTAAAATCAATAAAAAAAAAATACTTAAAACAAATATATTCAAGTTAATGTTATTTTGAATAAAGAAAGCAAATATTACTGATTTAAATTAAACCTCTTTATTAATTAATATTCAAACTTTTTCTATTAAAAAATAATTAACTAATTTATCAACAATTATTAAAAGCTCTTATTTTAGCAAATGTTTTATTTATCTTTATAGAAAATGAGAAGATTAAAAAATTATTCAAAATGCTACAATCTTCATATGCCTTACTATTACAAAAATAAATTAGTATAGAAATTTTATATATACAAAGAAGTAAAAATTAAAATTTAAAAGTTCATCAACAATTCTAAATTTTAGCTTTGTTAAGAAATAGATAGACAAATAGTTTAAAATATAGTTTAGTAAATTTTATTATTACAAATAAAAAATGGCAAAGTTAAATTTGGAAAGTTTCTAATTTTTCAAACCAATAATATACAAATAATATAATATTTTGTCTATAAAGAAGTAGGAATATTGTTAGATTATAAGAATTGGATTTATATTAGATAGTGGTTCAAATATAGCAAAAGTATGACGAATGATTGATCACAATTCTGAATTACAAGGAAAAATTATAATAATACTTTGTATAATATATCAAACTAATTTATTAGTTAAAAAAATTATTAAATTTAAGCAATTTGAATCTGTAATCTTAAACATGTTTCTTATAATTAATCATTTTTATAATTTGAATTGGGTTTTAGCTAAACTAAGAGAATTAGAAAAAATAAAAACTTAACTTCAAAATATTCTTGTATTATTAGATAGACAACATTTTTAAAAGCTATAGAGACTTTTTTATTAACTTGAAGTAATATACAAGTTATAGCTATTTCAAATTCAGAAATAATTATAATAAAATAATTAATACAATTGAAAATACAAATAGGGTTCTAAGCTCTGACCTGGATAACTATGAAACTGATAACCTGACCCAAAAAAATTATTATTCAGGTCATATTTTTGACAAACCGGTTTAAATATCATAAACAAGTCATCTATTAATAAATGGATCACTTGTAATAAGTTATAGAAGAACATTCATCTAATTGGCTGATATAAATCAATTGCCCAGATAGCTTATTAATGAATGATTCGCCACTTAGTAAAAGCATGATCTTAGTAAAATGTGACTCAGATTACTATATAAATTTACTATAGTGCGAATATGGTGATTGTCTAAGATAAACTTTTTTTTATACTAAGTTAATCATCTTTTTTGCTTAAAAGACTTTTGTAAAGCTTGTCAAGATGCATCTAATGGTAGTTAAAGCATCAAAATCAGCCTGGTGGGTGCCAAGATATCTTTAAAAAACAGTTCTTTTATTATATAAACTTCTTTGCAAACAATACTATTGTTTGTAAAAAAGTTTACATAGTAAAAGAGAGGTTTTTTAAAAATATCTTGGCACTCACCAGGCCAATTTTGACACTCTAACCACCATTAGATGCGTTTTGACAAGCTTTACAAAAGTCTCTTAAACAAGAAAAATAATTAACTTAGTATTAAAAAAGTTTACTTTGGATGATCATCACATTTGCACTATAGTAAATTTATATAGTAATCTGAGTTATATTTTACTAAGATCATACTTTTACTAAGTGGTGAATCATCTATTAATACAATATTTCACTAACAAAAATTACTATTAAAGCTTTTTTTTTTTTTTTTTAATATTAGAATATAGCACCTGCCCTAGACTTTTATTAATACTTAAACAAATTGACATATGGCGGTGCCGAGCTGCATATATATTACATATTAGAACTAGGACTAGGACTTTAGGTTTAAGACTATTTATCCATAGCTAAAACCCACCAGAGCCATCAACACTCCCACACATGTGATTGACCTAGATTTTATACATTTCTTCCTAACCACCAATTAGTATTCACATGTCCGCCACTTTACCCACATACCTAATATCTTAATTTCCAAATTGGTGTGTACTAGGTGGGCACTTATTGCTCCCAGTTTGGTGTGCCTGATCCCAACTAGCATACTTCCAGGAGTTCGTATCTCAAGCCATGCAGCTGCCTCTACCCAATTGGGTAAGTATCTCAAGCCTGTATGCTGCTATAACTAGCTAGTTTCCTGCAACTTTGAGACCAAGGTCTTAACGTTTCGAATTCAGTAATGTGCGAATGACTATACTTCCCAATATGGTGACGAGGCTTGCCCAGGCATGTTTCGCAAATGCTTTCAGTACTTGATATAGTTGGATGGAATTATGAGGCCTAGAGGTTCTTAACAGGTGCGTCATTGTTTCTATTTATGGTGATTCTTGGCAGTTGTAGCACCCAGTTACCACTGCATTCACTTATACCAGCTATACCTGTATTGGTGGTCCCAAGTCCTCTTAATGTTCGAAAATTTTCTATACAGGTACGACCAGAGCCTGTTAGGTCTATCAACACGTATACGCCTCCATGCTTCAACTTCTTATTGGTTAGTAAGTTTTGTATGCGCCAGAGATGTTCCAAATCTGGTAAGGCCAATTCTTTATCACAGGTCCCCTTGTGTTCACCACATTTCTTACCACTTTCCAATTCTGGTTACCACCCAGTCATCCTCCCAAACAAAATCCTCAATGCCGCCTTAGGGGTTGTTGGTGCTATCTTGCCAATCGTGAATTTATACGCACAACCTTTGTGTAATAGAACCTTCTGTAACAACCACCATTACACATAGTGCCAACTACTCCACAATGGATCTCCTTCCAGAAATTCCTAATCCAGACCTGTATTCACTTGGACTTTTTACAGCAGATACTTCCAAATATTCATAGGTAAACATACCTACTAGGACTTGAACCCAAAACCCGCTCGTGAAGGGTTGGGTGCCTAGACCACTAGGCTGCGGGATCCCAACCCAAAGTCTTTTTTTTTTTATTCTTTTACTATAATAATATAAATATAAGAACCATATAATTACAAAAATTGGATTATAAATTTTCTTCTATTTATTATCAATTTTATCAAATATTAGGTCTTTAAAATTTAAAAATCATTATTATTAGGTAATTTATTAATAATTTTTCTAAGCCATATCTAATATACTAAAATATATCTAAGTATTATTTTATTAGATTTCAAAATTTTAACTATATAGTTATATAGTTTTAATATATGAAAATTTATCAAATTTTGTTTAAAAACTTGCATATATGGTGGAGTAATTAACACGCCTCTCTGTCATGGAGGAGATCATGAATTTGATTTTCA